ACTGAAGGATTTACTGAAACACTAAAACATACACAATAAAGCTCATTACAGGCTTCAAATGTCAGAGTTTAAACTAGTGCTGCCATCAGTGCTTTACCCAATGTGGGAAAGTCAATGTACACCACCGTTAGCTTGGTATTTGTCTTTACTTTGCAGTCTCCAAGCTGGGACTGACTTCTTTGGCACTGACAGTATAACATGTTATCAACACTACTTATAATGCATTATAGTAACAATTCATAATGTATAATAAACATGGCTATAAAGTGTAATTCAGTGTAATTCTTTTTTATAAATATTTATAACCATGTTTATAATTCCTTATGAATACATTATAACATGTTATAAATGTGTTTATAGATGCTTACAAAGGTGACATTCATAGAAAGTGTTACCGAAGTCAGTCCCAGCTTGGAAAGCGTAAAATAAAGACAAATACCAAACTAATGGTGGTATACATTACATTACGGGCATATTACAGTGAAAAAAAAACAAAAAAAAAAACCTTGAACATCAATGATAATTGTTAAAAGGCTACAATGATAATCTGGTATAAAATTAGCTCAGACTATTGTTTATATATTTGATTATATGTCTATAATCAAATAGTTTGTAAAGGCAGGTAAAGCAATGTCTATAATTAAATAGTTTGAGTCTGTGCAGCAGCATCATCATCAGGAGGGTTCGTGGCATTCAAGCGAGGCTTTCTGCACAACATTCTACAGCTGGAAGATCCATGGTGGTCAAACTGATAAAGTTGGCAAGCGCCCAGGAGTACCAGATCAAGGCAGATGAAACAACAGCATCAAACCACACAGGATAGGCAGTCATTCAGCTCGGCAAAAAAAAAAACAGAGAGTTAGTTCTGTAAATAGAGACCGATTACAGTATATAGCATTCAGAGAGTGCAACAGAGACTCCGGCAGGTCGAGCCATTACAGCCTCACTAAGCGGGAGAGCCAGAATGTAATAAAGACATGAGGGCTCCCTGAGATGTCAGCACCCCTCTACTCCACCGACAGCAAACTGGAGTGAATGCGTGACAGCAGCGGGATGACAGCACCAACACTTCCAGTTTACCAGAATACTCCACGTCCATTAACCCTGAGATCTGCACCTTTTATCTAACAGGGAAAACTAATTGCCAAAGGCTCCACTAATGAAGTAGGTTTTAGCCTAGACTTAAAGACTGAAGCTTGAACAATGACTGGGGGTTTATTCCAAAGCTGGGGGTCTTTGTATGAGCAAGCTGTCTCCCCTGATGTAACTTTATTAATTCTAGGTATTAATAGTAAGCAGCACCTTGTGATCTATGCAGGCATGATGGTTCATAGTAGGAAGTTTCACTCAGGTACTGAGGGGCCATTTAGAGCTTTATATGCCAGTAAAAGAATTTTGTACTGCGAAATTTCACTGGCAACCAGTGTAGGTTTGATTAAACTTGGCTGATGGTCAAACTTTCAGTTTTCTAGTATAAGGACTCTGAAAGCATTCTGGACTAACTGAAGCTTGTCAAGGCTTTTGCTGGAATATCCAGACACCAGGGCATTACAGTAATCAAGCCTTAAGGGTAATAAATGTATGAACTAGTTTTTCTGTATTCTGAAGAGATTATTTGCCAATAATCCTTTTTTTTTTTCTGAACTGAGCAATTGCAACTGAGAAACTATTAAGATTATGTGCTGAATTATTCAGTTTGATTCTAGCAGCTTTTGGACCAAGAAGAAGAACCTCTGTTTTGTCCAAGTTGAGTAAAAGTAAGTTATTTGACATTCAATCTTTCATGTCTTTCATGCCTTTTATAGAGTTAGAGTTAATCTTATTAAGTTGAAAATTATGATCTGGTTTGGCCAACACATACAATTGTGTCAACAGTGTAGCAGTAGAAATTTATAACATGTTTACTGATAACAGTACCCAGTGGTAGCAAATATAATATAAGTAGTAGAGGTCCAAAAACAGAGCCTTGTCAAACACCATACTTTACTTTTGTAAGAACAGAGAATTTGCCATTTATACTCACAAAATGACAGTAATCAGTCAAGATCGTACAAGATCTTCTAGCCTATCTAATAGGATCGATCTATTGTATCAAATGTGACACTAAGATCAAGCAGAACCAGCAAAGATAAATTTCCGTGGTCAGCGAATAATAAGAGATTGCAGCTTTTACTAGTGCTCTCTCTGGACTATGATGAGCCCTAACTCTAGACTGGAATTTTTCAGGTATATGATTCCTATGCAAATAGGAAATTAGTTGCTGTGCCACAGCTTTTTCCAAAATCTTTGAAACAAAGGAAAGATTTGAGATAAGTCTATAATGTATAGCTTGCAGGGATCAAGATTAGGTTTCTTTATCAGAGGTCTAATTACTGCTAGTTTAAGAGTTTTTGGAATATTAATGTGTTCAGCATTAATGGTACCTTTACAGATGTGCACATCACCCATGCCATGTGCACTAATGCACCCCTGTACCATCATGAATAATGGCTTTTGAGCTGGGCACTGATAACAAGCTGAGTGGTCTTTATCCCAGAGGACACAGTGTCCATGATTTCCAAAAAGAATTTTTAAATGTTGATTCCCCAGATCACAGGACACTTTGCCACTTCCCCTCATCATCATCATCATCATCATCGTTAACCACTTAGTCCAGATAGGGTCGCGGTAGCAGTTGGGAGAGCAGAGAATCCCAGGTGACCCTGTCCCCCGCAACTTCCTCCAGCTCATTCCCGGGGACCCCAAGCCGCTCCCAGGCCAACTTGGAGATATAATCCCTCCAGCGGGTCCTAGGACGACCCCGGGGTCTTATTCCAGTAGGCCGTGTCTGGTACACCCCCACCGGGAGGCATCCAGGGGGCATCCGGATCAGATGCCCGAACCACCTCAGCTGGCTCCTCTCAATGCGGAGGAGTAGCGGCTCTACTCCGAGCTCCTCCCGGATGGCCGAGCTCCTCACCCTATCAAATAGAGTGTAGCCCGCCACCCTGCGAAGAAAGCTCATTTCCGCCGCTTGTATTCGCGATCTCATTCTTTCGGTCATTACCCACAGCTCATGACCATAGGTGAGGGTCGGGATGTAGACCGATCAGTAAACAGAGAGCTTTGCCTTATGGCTCAGCTCCCTCTTCACCACTACAGTCCGGTACAGTGACCGCATTACTGCTGCCGCTTGTCCCAGCCTGCGGTCGATCTCACGATCCTTCTTCCCATCACTCGTGAACAAGACCCCGAGATACTTAAACTCCTCCACCTGGGGCAAGTCCTTTCCCCTTACCTGGAGTGGGCATACCATCCTTTTCCACTTCCCCTCAGTCCATTTGAAATGAGCTCGGGCCCAGAGAAGGTGGCAGCATTTCTGGATCTTGTTTATGTACAGGTTCTTCTTTGCATTTTAGGGTTTTAACCTGCATTTGTGGATGCAGCGACAAATTGTTTTCACAGACAATGGTTTTCAGAAGTGTTTCTGAGACTATGTAGTGATTCCACTAGAGAACCGTTTACTATTTTACGCTGAGAAATGTATTCTTGAATTTTTACACTGTTTGCCCATGCAGTCTTTCACAGAGTGGTGAACCCCTCCTCATCTTTACTTCTGAAAGACCTCTCTGGGATGCTCTTTTTATATCCAGTCATGTTACTGTTGGCAGTTAACTACCAGGTGTTTTTTTTTAGCATTACACAACTTTACCAGTCGTTTGTTGTCCCATTCCAACTTTTTTGGAACATGGCATCAAATTCAAAATGGGCATATATTTTTCAAAAAGGTTCTATATAGAACCATCTGTGGCACATTCATTCATATTTTCCACCAGTCTGAAAAACTCTTTCATGATGCAAAGAACCCTTTAATCACACAAAAGTTTCTGCGAGTGTTCGCAGTTCTATATAGAACCATTTTTCTGCTAAAGAACCCTTAAAGAACCATTTTTTTTTAAAATAGTGTGGTTTGTCAAGGTAGATATTCAAATCTCAAATTCCTGTAAGAACTCAGAATACAGCCCTGGTGGCCTGTAGATTGTAATTAATGCAAATGAATTCTTATTTGTTCATCAATCACTTCTATAAAGAAAAAGAACTTCTGTATGATTTCTGATTTCTGTTTAATGCATGTCTAACGCATTTGTATGAATGGTTGCTATGCCCCCACCTAAGCCATTTAAACAAAGACTGTGTACATAACTGTAGCGTGTGGGGGTGGCTTCAGGTCTAATCCACATTTCTGTATTGTACAGAGGATCAAAATCATGATCAAATCAGTAATAAGTTGATTTACAATGACAGCCTTAGATGGGATCTTGTGTTCCGCAGTCCAGTTTTAGACCAAAGGTGCTGTCTTTGCGAATTGGTTGGACTAGTCTGATACTGATTAGATTTGTATAACAAACTTCTCAAGGTTTTCTAAAATTTTGTTTGATTTGGGGAACAGACACAGTCTCAGTTGGGTGGAACCTATGTGGCATCTCAAGGCAGTGAGCAGCCAGCAGGTTTTGTAACGTGGGACAGCTCACCAGACAGAACATGTGAACCCAGGCCATCTGAGTTATATCCCAGAGGCCTACCAGGTGCGTGAGCACTCTACCACTACACCACTGAAGCCGCAGTGAAGAGGGCTGAAAAGGAACATGAGGAAAGGAAAGGAAGTCCCCAAAAACGTGCAGGGGAAAATATATCCAAATTCTAAACCTTGATTGGCCCTCGGGAGTGCATGTCTTCTCCTTCTGGTCTGATGCCCTGCCGGACTTCGAGCGTTTATTCGTCGTTTATTCGACGGGCAGGGGGTAAAGGCTTCACAATGCTGCACAAGAGAGGCTTCAGAAAGGAAACGTGGAATATGGGGTTGATACAGAGAGCCAGGGGAAGTGCCAAACAATACCACACCGGAATGACCCCACAGACCACTTTGAAGGGTCTGATGTATTGAGGCGCCAGTTTTTGGGATGGCATTAGAAAAGGCAGGTCTTCTTCGTTGGCTGATTGGAGTGCTGGTATTGTTGGCCATGGCTCTCCAGCAACACTTCCAGCTGACAGTGGAGGTGATTGCGATGGTTCAGAGGGCATGTCTAGTGCTCACATGGGAGATGTGTGGCTAGAAGTGACCTGGTGTTTTCTGGCTGTGTCAAACAGTGCTGGGTGGCAGTTCTCCACTGCTGGTTCAATAATGAGCATTTCTCTAATGCGCAATATTTCCTGCCTCTCCTTCTTTGCCAAGAGGTCACAATATTTAAATTTATAGAGATAGTGTTAACTTCTTTTCATTTAGAAAATCAACAAAATGTGTAATCTGACCACTTGTTTAATCTTGACAGAGTACTGTTTAAGCAGACCTTGTAAATAATTGCTTATATTTAAATAAAATAGTTTTTTCTTTGTTTTTTGGATGTCTTTTAAATAAAAGCCCAAAATGTAATGAATATTACTGGTCATGCGACTTAGGCCACTAGTTCACAGAAGACATCTTTTGAATTGGGAACATGTCTAAATTGTGAGCAATATGGTCATATATGTAATAGATTTATGCATCAATATCTATATTTTGTGAACACTATTAATGCTTTCTTGTTGATCCCACAAATTATTTTGTTGAGTTTCTCATGTGTTCAAGATAGTCACATACTACACTCACACAATATCTCAACCTGATATAATTTCACATATTGTTTACACTTAAATGTTTTTTCAGACATACATATATGTCTGTTTATAGACTTCACTATATATAATCATAAACAATGGTTGCTTTGTATGATTGTGTTATATGGCATGTGTATGTTTTGTATGTGTTGTATAGTTATGTGTTAAAGGTGTAATCAGCATGAAAAAGTTACCTTCATAGCTAAATTACCAAGACAAATTAGAGTAAACTGCTATACTAATTTTTTGAGCCATTACAGAGTGCTACAAACAACAAATCAAACAGGCTGTGATAGCATGCAAGTAACCTCAGAGTACATTTTTTTTTTTACACGTGGTCCAAAAGGGTAAGAAATCATCCTGATACCCAATACTTTAGTGGAAAAACTTCCACAATTTTCACTTATTTGCTGAGTTTGAAATGAAACAAAATAAATAAATAAACAAATAAAATGTGACATAACCTTTGAACGGGACAGCTTTTATCTTGTATTTTTTGTTAATATGTTAAATTCAGCAAATAAACAGTAATTCTGTTAAGGCTGTGTATTTTCACTTAATAAAGCAACACAAAGTATCATTTGACTATGGTTGCCTAAACTTTTATGTGTATGAAGCCGCTCTACAGTCTCTAATTACACAGTGCAGTCCAGTCTAACAGGAACAGTTGTACAATTTAAGTTGTTCATTCTACAAAAAAGAGAAAAGAGAAATGAAAAAGAAAACCTTGACTTACTTAAATATTCTTCAACTAAATGACAATTTCTTTGCAGCGTCTTTGATCGAAAATGAGGCCACTGAGTTCTTTCCTCTCTTGCCTGGTGAGTTATGAGATTTATTCTGCCATAAGAAAATGATTCTAAAATTATGTGTATGTTTTGGTTCACACTTATGAAAAAAAAATAAAGAACCATTTCTTGTAATACAAAAGTGCACATACCATAGACCTACTTGGATGAAATATGATATGATATTTAATGATATTTATTCTCATCACTTTGTGAGGCTGCAAATGGATGGTTGATGGCTTATGCCTGTCAAAGCTACATGTTAATTGTAAATGCTTATATACTTATGCACACACACTACCGTGCAAAAGTCAGAGACCACTCTTCTTTTGTTTATTTCCTGTCAAAATCGGCCATTAGAGAAATTTGCATTAACAACCATATGAAACCCAGTCCCCTTCAGATAAACAGCACTTAAAGCTTTAATCTTTGAGAGAGAGGAGAAAATCAAGCTGCTTCAGATCTGAAAACATCCACAGGTGTTTCTGTCCATCCTTCCACTGTGAGAAGACGTCTCAGCGCTGTGGGTCTGAAAGGATGTGTAGCTGTCAAGAAGAACCTCACTGAGATAAGGAGACACATCAAAGAAGCTGAACAATGGACTGACCACCCCAGAGTCCAGACCTCAACATCACTGAATGTGTTTGGGATTGCTTGGATCATAAGAAGCAGAAAATGCAACCACCTCCTAAAACTTATCCTTGCAGACATGTTGTTGAAGCTTCTTTGTATTATTCTTTTACATTTTTTGAAACATACAAATTTTTACTGGAAAATAAACAAAGGAAGGGTGGTCTCTGACCATACAGTACTGTAAAGTCACTGAACATTTCAACTAATGGTTTAGACTGTTTCAAATTTCACAGAACATCTCTATTCTACTAAAATCATTATGGCACAGATGCAGCTGTTTTTGGTAGTGTAGTGTATACCTTATAGTGCTTTATTAAAATGTAAAAGGTTGGATTTCTGTTTGAAGCTATAAGGCATTTGTTAATTCGCAGAGTTTGACGTGACAGTTGTTCTGGTGGGTAAAACTGGAGCAGGAAAGAGTTCAAGTGGAAACACCATCCTGGGCAGAGAGAGTTTCTTTGAAGAAGGAGCCTCACCTGTGTCAATTACAAAAGAATGCACATCAGGGTCTACAAACCATGAAGGCAAGAGAATCTGTGTGGTCGACACACCAGGGTTATTTGGATCATTAACTAAAGAAGGAGAAGAAAAACAAATAAAAGACTGTGTCCGCATGTCAATTCCTGGTCCTCATGCATTCCTGCTAGTGATTAAAGTTGGGAGATTCACAGAGGAGGAGAAAAATGCTGTGGAGTGGATTCAGGAGAACTTTGGTGAAGATGCTTCACTCTTCACCATTATCCTCTTCACTCATGTTGATCAGCTGAAGGACAAAACTTTGGACAAGTATGTCAGAGAAAGCAGAGATCTTCTGAAGTTTATTGACCGCTGTGGTGGTAGATATCATGGATTCAACAATGACAGTAAACAGAACCAAGCTCAGGCCACACAGCTGCTGGACAAGATAGATGCAATGGTGGAGAGGAATGGTGGAACACACTATACAAACGAGATGTTTCAAAAAGCCCAGGAAGAGATCCTTGAAAAGGAGAGTAAAAAAAAAATGGAAAAACTGAAAGAAGTCGCACTAGGAACAGCAACAGCACTAGGAGTAGGAGGAGTGGTGGCAGGAGGAGTGGTTATCGGAGTCACAGGAGCTGTTGTACTGCCAGCAGCAGGAGCTGTAGCTGGAGGAGCACTTGCTGTGGGGACAGGAGCAAAGCTTCTTTATGATAGAGTCAAAAAGAAAAATGAGTAAGCATTGAAAGAGGTATTATTTAAGGAGGCATGATAATTGATATAATTACAAATAAGTTTTGGGCAAAATAACTGATAATATCTGACAATCTAAACAACAAGGCGGAATGGTTAATATATGGTATTTCGTTGAAGGGGCTCAATTTTTATCTGCATTAGCAAACCAGTTACTTATTCTTCCAACCATGACATCCAACATGTGAACATGCTTGGCTGGTTAGTCAATGAGGCCAGCAGGCTTTTATTAAACAATAACAGTCTAAACAAGTTAAAAGTGAAAAGAAGTTTTCTTACTGAGGAACGAAACATGGGCATCCATATGGAGAGCTGGAGAGTTTTTCTGGGTCTTGTGTTCTCATTCTTATTCTTGTTCTGTCTCTTTGTCTGTCTTTCAAACAATTTTCAGTAAGCTTCATATTGTTTTTCTTATTTATCTGTATCCTTTTTTAAGCCACATCACATTTTTCACTCATTTTCTAATATGTCCCTTGCATATCTTTAATAAACCAATTTTCATTGCATTAAATCATGTCAAGCTCATCCTTCTAAACAGCATTGCTAACCAGCTTCAAACTGGTATTTAAGTTGCTGAAGTACAGTCATATGTCAACAATGTCCAGAAATGCCACTGGCTTCTCTGGGCTTTAACTCCTCTAAAATGGACTCTTGCACAGTGGAAGCTCTGAAGCTCTGTTATTCCAGAGTTTAGAAGCTATAAAAGAAAATGATCAAATAAATGAAGTGCACAACGTTGAACTAACCCAATTCCAATAAAGTTGGAAGAGTATGTTAAATGCAAACCAAAGCAGGAATGAATGATCAGTAAATCACAAATGTTAAATGAAAACATTACAAAGCCAAGATTCTTAGGGTGTGTCTCAGAACCTAGTGAGCTCACTACATAGGCAATTTACATCATAATTTGCGCACTCCCGATAAGGCCATCTCAATTCCTATATACCTCAAATATGCTGCCTACTGAGGGATCTTATTTTGGCCGGATACTGAGAGAGCATTGGATGTTTACTCAGCCTGTGAGGCAGTCCTGTGATGCAGTGTGGCACATAATTTATTTGAAGACAGTGGGCAGAAGCAGTGCGGCAAGAAGCCCAGCAAGTGGTGAAGTTATCTTTAAATGTAAGTTATTCTGGTTTTCTATGGTATTTTATTTGTTTTCTTGTCACAAAGGTGCACAAACAGCCTACACTTTGCAATTTAGGTCCATCAGTGACCATTTTACAGTTTTCAGAACACTGTTAGCATGCATGATAGTGGATCTTGAAGCCTAAGGCTATTATTTTGAATAGCCAGCTGGCTGACAAACTTGCTGTTTTACCAGTTAGAACAGGGGTTTTCCAATCTTATTCACCAAGAATGGCTATAGCTGCGGGTTTTCAATGGAAGCTCCCCTGATTCTCCTTAATCAAGAAAAACAAATCATGCATGAAAACCTGCTGCCAAAAGTGCAGATACGATTGTGTTAGTCATGCATATTTAGTGATAGAATAAAATGTAACATTAGCTAATCATAACTTAAAAGTAAGTAGAAGTGGTTTACTAATCTGGGTAGAATTTTGAATTATTGAATAATGAATAATATAGGATATTTATAATCTCTTGATCTATTCTCTAACACAGTTAAAAGCCCTAATTTGATTTTGTTTGTTGACAGCAACAGGAAAAGATGACACAAACTAAAAAAGAAATATAAGGTAAGTTTTAAGACAGAGCTGAAAATTACTAGTAGATTAGTATATTAATTCAAAGATTGAGGAGTTTTCTTTTTTAAACCTTTGCATGCATTTCAAGCATAATTACAATAATAAAAAAATGCTTGTGTATAATTCAGCTAGGCAAAAGAAAGCAAACTGAAGTTAGATTACAGGTTTGTATTTTTTTTTTTTTACAAAGTACAGGAGTGGGACTGACAACCATCACCAAGGATCGTGCTGCCTGCTAGTAGAGAGAACTGTGCAAAGGACCCTTTATCATGCAATGATCCAGGAAAGCCTATAAAATCTTTTAAAAACTTTGCCTGATGATCACATACAGCTTGCAGCTGCACACATGGGTAGAGCTGTTTTTGTAACATTGTGCATTAGGTTCTCTTAGAGCTTTGATTCAAATATGGCAGCCATCTATAGTTCCAACTACACATCGGAAAGTTGCATGATTCCCCAGCCTCACAAAGCCTTGAGAAATGCTTTATAATTTTCAATTTAATTTGTTTCATTTTATTGGCCACCCCATGAATTACATGATGCACAGTTGAATGGGGCACTGCAATGCACAAGACACAACATAGTACCAAACACCAAACAGGCACTTCATTAAGTACACCTCCTTGTATATAGACTCTTTGTCCATATTATGGTTCTACAATTAGAGACTGTTCTCTGCATACTTTGTTATTTGCATTGTAACACACCACCACCATGTCAGTGTCTCTGCAATGCTGAGAATGATACACCCAAATAATACCTGCTCTGTGGGGGTCCTGTGGGGGTCCTGACCACTGAAGAACAGGGTAACAAAGTATGCAGAGAAACAGATGGACTACAGTCTGTAATTGTAGAACTACAAAGTGCACCTATATGGTCAGTGGAGCTGATAAAATGGACACTGAGTGCAGTAACAAGGAGATGTACCTAATGAAGTGGCTGGTCCATGTGTATGTATATGAATATTTATGTAAAAAAACATTGTAAATGAATTGATTACTTAAATAATTAATTACTGTAATATTACTGTATATAGCTGTATAAACAGTTTGCTAGCAAATGGTTGCATTTAGCTGTAAATGTATTTATTAAAGTGTATACTTTGGTTAATGCAGTTGTGTGTGGTGTATGTAGATTTTAATGTGATGTATGTATTAATGTGTATGTCCTATTTAAGCATTCAAAACAAATAAAACACTGTCTGTTTTAAGAAATTGATAGCTAGGTGAATAATGAACCTTGTTTGATGTGGAGAAAGGGTTTACTGATGTTCAGAATCAGAATAGTCAGAATGCACAGTATCTGACAAACATTTACACGTAGTAGATAGAATAAAAACTAAAATAAAAAGAAAAAACAAGAATAAAATAAAATAGAACATGCATTCCTATCACACATTCAGACCATCACACACTGAGTGCTGAGTGCAGCAGCAGTTAAAAAATGTATAGTGGCAAAAAAGGGTGCTAGAAGAAACAAAAATGCTGGTCTGAGGCTGTAGATACAGAGTTTAAAATATGAAGTGTTACTATATACGATATATACTATAAACCAGCATGTTTAACTTTATTATATTATATATATATATATATATATATATATTTAAAAAGTTTTCCCCCCCTCAAACTGCATAGAGAATAGTTTACCTTTGTAAATTTTAACTGTTCAAGAGCAGCTAGTAGCAATCAAATTGGTACATTGCAATATCTGACAACTCCTGTCTATTCTGCTGTTTCACTCAGAGCAAATACAATTAAAATTGCTAAAAAAAATAATAATAATAATAAAAAAAAAATTTAAAAAATAGCCAGATCAGGATCCATGGTGGTTAAACGCTTATCTAGACTCAAGCATGGCTGTGTAATCAGAGAGTCCTGGTGTTAGACTGGCCTGCCTGTCTCCCATTAAAAATGTGTGCTGCATTATAAACTGCAAAATATGATGATAAAGGGCCCATACAGTTACCCAACTTAAGATTTGTATAACTGAAGAATTGCAAAAAAATCCACTTTCAAAACTTGATTAATTTCTGTATTTGGTTCCCTAATGGTTATTGAGTGCTGTTAAAAGATAATGTCATTTTTATCAAAAAAGAATAAAATGTCAAATAGTGTGTTTTAGTGTGTTTTAAAATTGATACATGTCAAACAGAGTACCCTAATTGCTGCTTTTGGTTTTTATTAGTATTTCACATACTGTCCTAACTTTTTTGGAATTGGGTTAGTATTTGTGTATGTGTTTTATCCACAGGTCAGCTGCATTCTTCTGATGTGAGGATTGTGCTGCTGGGTAAAACTGGATCAGGAAAGAGTTCTACAGGAAACACCATCCTCGGCAGTCAGGTGTTCATAGAGGACGTCTCACCAGAATCTGTCACAGCACAGTGCAAGAAACATGTTGTTGAGAGAGAAGGAACACGTATCTCAGTGATCGACACTCCTGGGATCTTTGACACCTCAATGACTAAAGAAGAGTTGAAAGCTGAAATAGAGAAATGTATCAGTATGGATGGTCCTGGACCCTGTTTCTTCCTTCTGGTCATCAGTTTGGCCACTAGATTCTCAGAGGAAGAGAGAAATGCCATGAAGTGGATTCTGGAGAACTTTGGAGAATATACTTCAATCTACTCCATCGTTCTGTTCACCCATGCTGATCAACTGAAGGGTAAAAGAGTGGAGGATTACATTGCAGAAAGTATAGAGCTTCGTAGAGTTATAAACAGCTGTGGTGGGAGATTTCATGTATTAAATAATGAGGACAGGGAAAATAGCTCTCAGGTCACAGAGCTACTGGAGAAGATTGATCTGCTGGTAGAGAGGAACGGGGAACATTTCTACAGCAAAGATCTCTATCAGCAGGCCCAGAAGGATCTCAGAGAGATGGAGGAGAGAAGGAGGAAAGAAGAAGAGGAAAAGTCTGGTATCACTGGGTGGATTAAAAGACTGATGGAGAATCCAATGCAGTTTCTTGAAGATAGAGTATGTTCAGGTCTTGCTGGAGTCGGTTTAGGAACTGTAGCAGCAGGGTTAGGAGGTTTACTGTTAACAGGAACAGCAGGGTACATCATTTTTTTAGGGGCATTAGTAACATACGCTGTAAAATCTTATCAACGTATGAGAAGACAGTGAAACTGGTAATGCTAATGTTATGCATCAGCATATTTCACACAAGATGTGATGTATAATTTATTCTAATGACATTTGAGTGACATGCGGTATTTCTTATATAACACATTTACAAAATTCCAAAAAGTCTTTTGAACTCACATGGGGATATAGAGCTCCCATCATCATCATCTTGGGAGTATTAGCTGTACACACTTAGAAAAAAGGTACTAAACTGTCCCTGTGGTGGAATCCCTCTTGACACTGGGGTGGTGCACTCAATGGTAAATCGGGAACATAATTGCACCGTAATCTATTGCAATTACATTGTTTAAGTTGAACTTACTCCATACATCCTGTGCATCACTAGCCTTTTTATTTTAAATGATTACATTTTATAACATCATAATCTAAACACATCAGTGAATGAAAAAGTACAAATATGAATGTTTTCCTAGAAAAAAAAAAAACACAGTTAAAGCCATAAAACCATCATTGTGCCTTTAAGGTGCATACATTGTTTGTACCTTGATGAATAGGTACATATAGTATCTTTTTTATCCCACAGTTTGTTAAAGTAATCCGACCTTGAGGAAGCTGTACTTCAGGCTGGCTAGCTCTGACTGTAAGCTGTTTAACTGGTAAAATATGGGGCTTAAACACACAATTCAGTAGTCAAAAAACACTCATTATGAAAAAAGTTACTTTTATGGTACAAAAACAGTCTTCAGTTCAAATCTCAAGAAATATCTGTGTAATTGCTGTGAAAAGTACAGATGGAGTTGCTATATATTTATTTTAACTAAATGAAATATCCACTTTACATTTTATCTTCTATGTTAGGTTGTGCCCTGCCCTTCTCTATGTTTTATAGGAGAAAGAGTCTGAATTAAGGGTGTTCACTCTTAGTCCTGGAACTCTTCGAGTACTACTGGGCAGAAATAAGTCTAATTAGGCCTTTATTAAGTCATCTTATGTCTTTGTAAAGATACTGATCATGTATATGGTTTAAATGTAAAATTGCATTGCATTTAATTTGAAAAATGTAAGTAAAAATACAGCAATGGACAGTTCATCCTGTAAAACAAGAATGATAAAATTTACATGTAAAAACAATTATTAGTTGTTTATTATTTGTTGTTTATTTACAATATTCTAGTGTAATGTTGTTTGCTTTTCTATGTTACTTATGAAATATAAGACAAAAGCTAAGACATTCATATATAGCCCAACAAAGTAGATTTATTTCCCCAATACAGCACAGTGGTAAAACATAAATTACCTATTTAATTCTAAGATTATTTCAGATGACAGCTAATCCATGAAACACAATTATGTTTATGGCAAAGGTATTTGGAAAAGTGGTGCGATATTTCTTTTCTGACCTCCCCCTGACTGTGATTGGTCTAGTCACTGCATTATTTCTTCTGGGCTATTACTGGTCCAAATTACCACATTATTGTTTGGAGACAGGTAACTTAAACCTGGAGTCTATTTCAACATAGAGCATATAATAAGTGACAGCTCCGATTTGTCATAACTGCTTCTTATAATGTTTTAGTCCTCTTTATCTATAGGAAAACAAGGTGAATGCTTCATTGTAGGACACCCAGACGTCCATCACTCCAGCTGCATTTCTTGAACAGATTGCGTCTGGTTGACTGGGCCTCTGAAAAAAAACAGCATCTTTACATTGCCTTGGTTTTCCTTAAACACACCAAACAGCAGCAGCAGTATCTAATGGCGATCGTAAAGATGAATTAAATAATGCTGGGCTTCACACTATACATTGCATGTGGGACTACTATCTTTCCCTGCTTAAACCACGGGGTCCTAAAGACTAACGAGAAATAGCTATTTGCACCTGGCGGGTAAACTTTGTCCTGGGTTTGGCCACTGCCTGCGTAAATGCCGACAGTTCTGCCCAGTGTTCTTCAGTTTGTCACCCACATAGTTCCCTAATTTCCCTAAGTGGTGGAGATACCACTTTGTACTGTGGAACATGTCAAAATTTCCCTTTGACATAATACTGCTTCATCAGGAGCAGCTGTGTGATTTTTCATGACTCATTGTCCTGACATGACTGCATGATTGTGATGTGCATGTGAGGTGGTGTGTCATTAGATTGTGTGATGTAGTGTGACACTGCTGAGTCATTAGTGACAAAATCAAATCTGGATTTTCTATAGGACCAGTGCGACTACTTCACATAACCATAATTACCAGAAATCACTCCTATAATGTAAATAATTCACCACCATCACAGAATTAGTGAACCAAAGAGAAGATGCCTTTGCATCCTGGTTTAAACAGTTTCTCTCTATGTGCACCCTTCAGTGGTGATCACTGACAGGTTTGGGTGCCATATTAAATTATTATTCTTAAATATCTGACCCTTGCAGGACTATGCCCGTATCTACATAAAAGAATCTTATATGTACTTCTTGATGCTTAATTATATTTCAATTTCTGCTTTTCTAAAATTAATATTTTCTCCTTATAGAGATTCCCAAAACTCTTGAGATGACATTCAATTATGCAAAAAATTTTATTAATAAAAGTATTATTACATGACAACTTCAAACTCAACCAGTTTAGAAACAGAAGCTGTGTGAGATGTTGTTAATGTGCACCTAATTATTTACTTCATTACAAAACAAATTTCCCCCCTTCTATTGTTAGACATTATTTTTCTCTTCTGTTCTCATACCAGACCACCAGTAGTCCTTAACAATTTTAATTTGTTTTATAGATCTAAACCAGACTAGCTATTGTTGTCAGATCTAAATTAAGCTAATGTTAACATTCCATTACCATGGGGCAAAGCAGACGTTCTCACTCATTAACATAAACTTGGCAGTTTGTAATGAGCTCACCCCAAACCTTCACTGTGAAGTCAGTTAGCATTTTGCTCATGCTAACCTTAAGCTATGCTCAAAAAAACCACACAACTGTATTTTATAACAAACTTGAGTTATGTCTGCACATAATAATAATATTAATAAGGAAACAGCTGATTCAACTGACCAATTTGTGACATTTAACTGACTTACATTATTGAACAACCCCATCTTGAGAATCAGACATCACATTCATCATTAGCAATAATGACTAAAGATCCAAACTCTTTTGAAGGCAAACTATAAACTTTAGAAACTGTGAGAGCAAAGCCAATAGCATGACCACCATGGTCCTGCAGAGGACATGCAGTCATAAAATGATAAAACCATTAAAGGCCTCCCCAGATTACACAGAACCCAGTGCAGCAGCCTTTAAACAGTGAAAGGCTAGACTTCTTAACCATGGCTAAAGTTATTTAAGTAACTTGTTTATGACGACTCACTGTAGTTTTTACATACAACCTATTATCCTGCTCATGTGTAATTGGCTACAAATATGCTCCCATAGTTAATTTAATTGATCCACCTCTGTGAAAATGACAAAAAACTGAGTTACTTTCCGAATAAGCTTTAAAAGTTACCTGCAACCTTGTCTCCAAGGTAGTCCCATCCACTGACTTGGACTTAGAAGTTTTTTCTAAATTCAGTTCACTCTACGCCTCAAACTGCTTGCATTTGCAAGGACCCATTTCACTGCAGAGGCTCATGCTTAGTGATTATTGTAAGTTCTCCATCTGTCTTTGATCTTTCTCCTTTGACTACTACTGGAGCTGTTTCTATATTGGTAGGATCAAGACCAGCTCGATCAGAACAGCCTTCACTCTCACTGGAAGGAGACTGCTCCTGCTCAAGGGAGGGATTCACTTGCTTTTTGTTTGTATTAATGTGATTCAGCAACTCCTTTCTACTTTAGCTTGTGGAACACTGATACAGTGTTGCATCTCTGTTCATATAAGCATGCCACTAGCCACATTTACATGCAGCCTAATAATCCATTAATAATTCGACTAATAGCTCACTCAGAATAGAATACGTCCATGTGAACACCTCAATCGGAATAGACTAGTCTGATTGAGGCCATTCGGAGTACAATTTCTATCCGATTGATCGAGGTGGGTAATCCTGTAAATAATCCGTTAAATAGAAGAATAATATCTGTGTAAATGCCTGTATCTGATTACATTCCCTATCAGAAAGTTTAAGTCCATTCTGATCATGTTCGTCGCGTCATAGTGAAAGTTTATACCGTTCAACATGGTGGAGCAGAAACTGGTCTGCAGAGGAGACGAAGTTTATGCTCTGATCTTTAAAAGACGGCGGTGGGACGGACGTCCAGCTTATGTGTCTCAGAACACGACGTCTTCCTCTCGGCCTTCTTTAATAAGGACATGTGAAGGACGTTTTCCTGAGTCTGACATCATTTTAAAGTCATTAAAAACACAAGCACTGCTCACTGCTGCTCATCTCACTCTGACTGGACTCACGTGATGTTCGCTGTCATGGTAACGTTTACTGTAAGTGGTACTCCATGCTTGTGCGCCATTTTGGATTGGATTACTTGTAGTGAGCATGTAAACGAAGATTTTCATCAGATTGTTGAGTAGAGTGAGAATAAACACCTCAGTCTTAATCTATAATTAGAATGTTTTCAGTCGGATTAGCAAAAACCTTTGCATGTAAACACAGCCACTGTCTGAACACCTGAACACATTCCTCAAGGACCTTTTTCTTTAGAAAACACAGTCCGCCCACATCCTAAACTAATAGTCTGGGGAAAACCCAAGACAAACAAGAGACAAACAAAAACAAAAAACTGACCCTCTTCAGTTTGGGAGTGAAGTTCCTTTTTCTCAGGTCTCACTCCCCATCTTGCTGTAGTGAAAGAAGGAGATTGACTTGGTCCCATCCCAAAATCAGTGTTCTCAGCGAATCAGATCTGGTTGTAAAGAATAAACTCACTGTTCTTGGGGATTTGAATCCTGTTGTAAATATGTTACTGTTGAAAAAAGAACGTTCTGTTCTGGAAAGAGCAGCATAAAAGGCATTTTGCTGTTATTGGTCAAACCACTGAGAGCATAGTTGGCTTATCAAAAGAAGCTTTCAGCATTAACATTGTATAACACT